ATACCAGTCATGCAGTGTCCCCATCTGGATGGTGCCTCCCACCCTGCAAAGGCCCCTGCTGTGTGTCCCTCCTCAGGTGCCACAACCCAAATATTTTGTTTTGCTCCCCAACCTTAGGGTGGGAGTTGGACCCTGCAATCCTAATATTTAATACACTGGAGACCCCGTGGGAAAGCCTGGAGTACCCTATTCCTGACCCTGGCTGGCCCCAATGACACCCACGTACAGTACTCAGGGTAACAGGCACTGGGACGACAGCTTGATCTGAAGTATGAAGTGTCCCCCAAGACTCCTGTGTCCAGAGGCTGGGCTTCTGGATGGGCACTGGATCATGGGGCGCTGACCTTACAGACAGATGAACTCACTGGTGAGTTCACAGCAGGATGGGCTGCAGAAGGTGGAAACTAGTAGATAGATCACAAGGCCTGACCTGGAAGGGTGGATCTTGTTCTAGCCCCTTCTCCTCGCTCTACTTCTTGGCCACCATGACATGGCAACTTTCTTCTGCCGACCTCTCCTGCCATGCTGCTCCTACTTGGAGCCAGCTGACCATGGACTGACCCCTCGGGAACCATGAGCCTTTCCTCCCGAAGGTGATTTAGGTCAGGTATTTGTCTCAGGGCTAGGAGGTGGCTGATACACAAGGTATGCACTGTGGATATAATGCCTGTATGTTCCAGCAGGTAAGGCAGTGCTGCCCATTAGAATACAGGGGAGGACATCTCACACCTGACCCCACCATGAGCTGCCCAGGTGTGGGCAGCCCCATTGCTCAGCCACCCAGAACCATGCATAGCGAAAGACGACGCTGCTCCTGTAGCATTAGCAATTTTTATTTTCCTTTTTGTTGCATAGGAAATGCAGTACTTGCTTCCAGTAATTGTACTGTAATGTGAGAAGGTGGTAGCACTAATGGTTGAATACAAGAGTTAAACTAATCCACACCAGCTCAAAAAACCTGTGGAGATTTAGTTGAATAAGAATGGATGCCCACAGTGATTCTCAACCAATTACGAATTTTCACAGAACACAGTAAACTAAAAGGGTAACTATGAGAATCAATACGGTACACTAGAGGCACGGGGTGGGGTGGGGGCCCGGCTCATAACAACCACTTTCAGACCAAGTTATTAACATGGTGCTGCTCAGCGTCACAAAACCTGCTCCCCGCAATGGAAATGGAAATCGAGGCACTGCGTGGACAGCGTCTGTGCACATGAACTGCTCTGGGCAGAGGTTGAGGTTATGGCAGGAGACGCCACAGGGTCTCCCAGAGACCTCGGGGACCCTGCTGAGCTCCCAGCCGAGTCTGCTGATGTCTCGTGCAAGGTGAGGAAACGCCTTTGTGGGGCAGAGACGACCGAGCGGGCCCAGGGAGAGACAGGGTGGCCGTGTCACGTCACCTGCGTGGCCAGTGGCCCTGTGGCCTTCGGCTGAGATGATTTGAAAAAAAAAAAAAAAAGCCAATTTACTACTATTGCCAGGAGAGAAATACAATAAAAAATTCAGGGTAACAGTCAGAAGGGGGAAAACACTTGTCATTTTGAGAAGTCTTGCACAAAACAGCAGGAACAGCAGCCCGATTCCCGTCAACAGCTCCCTGAAGCCCCGGGGCCCTGAGAGCTCAGTCTGGCCCGGCAGCTCCCGGGGACAGAGCCCGGCTCAGACCTGAGCAGCTCTGCGTGCGCTCCAGTGGCCACATACTCTGGGAAGTCTGTTGTGACCCACATCGCACAAGGGCAGGAGTGAACTTGGGGTCCAGGCCCGCGGAGGAGGTATACCCAGTTTGGGGTCCTCCCAGCCCTTTGGGGAATCAAGGGTAGATGGGTGCTGGCTTAGGGTGAAAACATGAGATGAAACGATTTAACTTGGGAAGGGGGGGTAGTTTCAAATCAGACCAAAAAAAGTATCTAAAAAATTCCATGTTAATAACGAACTTTGGCTCATGAACCGGGCCCGGAGTTTTTACAGAGTTTCACTTTTGAAGGAAGTATCGCAATTGTGCATGAAACTGAAGAGCCATGTGATTCCTTAGGATTATTTTTTCCTTTTTCCTTAACGTGAGGAGGTCTGGTGTGAGATGGTCAAGCATGGTAGCTGGCCGGACGCTGTCCCTCTATAGAGCTGCTTCCAGGGCAGCGGGGCCAAGGGTCACCTGCACCTGGAAATGTTCTCAGAGTGGCTTTGTGGCAGAGTTCTTGGAAGTCAAATGTAGTTTTGAGACACAAATCTCACCAGGTACTGATTTCTGAAACCAAACACCCATGCTTGCCCCCTAGGAAAAAGAACAAAGCAAAACAAAAACCAAATACAAAACACAAGTAATACTGAATTTAAGTAAATGTATACCTCCAAAATACTGAAAACACCGGAAATCAAGAAGAGACAGAATTTGCGTTCTCGGTGAAATACCTTTAAACCTAGCTGACAAGAACCAAGTCAGAAAAGAAGGTAACATGACCGAGTAATATTCATACCGTTCACTAAGCATATGGAGAGCATGCATTAATATTGTACGGTTATTTTACATTACCTATACCAGAGGTCCTGACCGACAGACAGCGAAGGCTACCGGTGTAGAAAAATCTTACTTCAGAAGAGCAATATAATACAGATTTCACAGGCACTACATTTTAATATATCAGGTATTATGCTGGTTTTCTTATAATTCTTTCTGTCCTAAAGCTGGCATTATAACAATGACCAAAAAGGCAAGGATTGAAGTAAACGGAAAGTAGATACCAAAGTCGATATAGTTTTCTTCAGATAGATTAGTGCATAGTTCTCATGCAGATAAACACTGCTATGCATTTACACTGTTGGAAAGCAAAGTGAATTGAGCCCAAGTTGTCACATTTGTGTAAATCATTTTGTCAGCCTGTAATAGCACCATGTAATGGATTTGCATTAAACATTAGATTGATTTCAGAATTGGTGACACAGTATTCACTACAGTTAAGTGCTATGAAATAGCTTCAATGGTACCTGCTATATATCAAAGCAATTTTCATCCCACTGCATTTTTTATTGGGAAAAATAAAAGGGAAACATCCACGACGCTAATGAGCCGGTGCACAGCCTTGGACGGGGAAGGCAGAGTGGGTGTGCGGTCAGATAGGAAGTTCATGCCTGCTTCAGACAAGGTGGCTGGGGGCGTGGGTGGTGCCCCCCTCCAGGCCAGGCCCAGGGGGTAGGCGGAGTCGCCCAGAAGCTGCCCCACACCACTGTCTGCAATGTCTGACTCTGTTCTAGGGAGGCCTGTGACCAACAGCCAGGAAAGAAGGAAAAACAGACGGAGACAATCAGAGGAGGGGAGAGCACGAGCCACACTAGGGAGTCAGAGCACATCCAACGACCTCTTAGGAACCCTCCCAACACCCCAGGGAAAGGCCCGCTTTAATCCAGGTCTCATGAATACTCTCTGGCACTGCCACCCAGAGTCCAAAGCACGCGGAATGAGGTTTGGAGAAGTGAGACAAACTTTGAGGGGGGCGGACCGAGTTCTGTGACGGGCAAGCGGGGTCTGGGGGACAGAGCCACAGTGGGCAGAGAACTAACAAATAGCTGTCACGCCAACGGGCGAGGAAACAGAAAGCTCGGCGGAAGAGGGCTGAGGAAGGGCAGAGTGGCAACTGGCTGGGCCTCTGCACAGCAAGGGCTGGGCGAGGGTGGCTCGGCCTGGAGAGGGACTGGAAATGGTTAGGGTTAGTGTTTGTGCCTCTGACTTCAGTTGCCAAGAAAAAACTCAGAGCGCCCTGGGATGGACTCTGCCAATCTTGCTAATTCCATCTGATAGGAGAGAGTGTCCCAGTGTGTCCCAGTGCCAGGGGCCGAGCCTTCACACACAGATAGCACTCCGTCTGTCTGTCTATACTCCAGGGAGCAAAGTCTTCCTCAAATGTCTCTGCTCGGCTCTTAACCTAGAAAGCCAAACAGTCTGATGGCTGGTGTTTCTTTCTTCCTGCTGATCACAACTGAACTACAGTTGCCTGCTGCTTTCTGGACGATGAAATGTGAACACAATGGTAACTTAGTGTGTTTAATACTTAACCCCTGTCCGTTATCACCCTAGACTGCCTCCCTCATGTTTTAAAGCCTTTAAAACATTTTTTCCTGCAAATCTGTTCAGAGTTCCCTAATTTTAGCTTCATCAAACTTAATACAACAAAATACCTTCAAAAATACAGCATACCTGTAACATCCATTTACAATGGTTTCTCAGTAGACCTACACTTCTCAAGCATAGGCATATGCTATACCATTGAGAGAAAAAAATGACTGTATTTAAATACTTACAAAAAAAAAAAAAGGAAACAGGAAAGTTTTAAACTTAAATCCAGTTCCCAAAGGGGAGAAGAAGAAAGAAAAGCAATTCTATGAATGCTGCCTTTATAATGAACAATCAGAAATTTCACTAGGCTAATTTGACAGAAAATTTTCCTCATTTAAACAACATTACAAAAGTCCTGCATTATAAAATAGGGTAGAATAAATCAGTGTAATCAATAAAACTATACAACAATACAAATTACATATCTTCTCAGTGGGCAGTATATCCCCTCTTTGCAGTCATGACTACAACATGCTCACTAAAAACAACTAAAACTGCCCAAACTATTGCTTAGTTTGTTTTGTTTAAAAAAGGGTGCAATTTCATTGTATATACAACCAATTTCCTGGTAATACCTTGGCTTATCGCAAGGCTCTGACAAAATGTTTGTCTAGGCTTTTTTCCCTTCACTGTGAAACTGAAAGCTCTGCTATTTTTACTGTGAAGCACTGAAAGCTGCTATTTTTCTTTTTTTTTTTTCTTTCCTTTTTTTTTTTTCTTTTTAGTGCACATATGTCGTAATAAAGTAATGCCCAGCTAGGTGCTATCGGGGAGGCAAAGTATGCTAGCTACAGGAAGTGACACCGTAAGCTGACAATCACACCGTACAACAGCGCCAAACGACTATTCAACCACTTACCAGACATGTATGAAAATCCAAAATGTTTTATTTTTTTCCTTAAATAGAGATAACCAGTAAACAATTTTCAGAACTTGGAAGTTTAAAAACGTGCATATAAAAATGGGCATTATATACTTTTTATTGAATGTGGATTGACTGCAGTCTGCTAAGAAAAATGGGGTGTGGGAGCTGAAGAAAAAGGAGTTGTCTTTTTTTTTTAAGGCTTGCTTGTGAAAGGAACAGTTGTAAAAACAAAATTGCTTGAAGCAGGGTCAGCTTAGTGCTTCACAGTTTGACTGCTTCTCTAAGAGGAGCCCTTCCTGCGCACGTGCATTCAAAAATCACAAAAAAGTACAAAGACAAACACCTAAAGACACTGCGTCAAGTGCAGCACTGACTTTGGTCAAATTAAAAAAAAAAAAAAAGAAGAAGAAAAAAATCCTCGCTAAGCTTCTCTACATGATATAAGCAGGTATTGCATATTTTCATACATCTGGGGGGAAATGAAGGAAGACTCCAAATAAATTGTAAAATGCAGCAACATCCGAAACACTGATATTCTAAGCCTCTACAGATCTCAGAATAGCACTGCCACTGACCACACAGGACAATAACGACTACTCCTACCTGTGAACAGCTAACATCTACTTAGTTCTAGGTGTTGAAGCCGACGATGGCAGACATAAAAGTCACATTTACAAAAAGTGTCTCCAAATGCTTGACCAGGGAAACCCCTTTCAATAGAGGAGCATGTGCAACAATTCCACAAATAATTGCTATCCAGGGCAAGGCACATTGATATGGAATTTTTGTTCTCGTGCAAATTAAGGAAACAAAACAAAAAAACATTGTTTTGGGGGGAAAGATGAGGAGCAAAGTGACTTCCCAAGAATTTCAGTTACTTGATTGTATAGGACAGTAGTAGGGCCCTTCTGAAGGGCTGGAAAACATAGTTTAAAGGCAAGTGCCTAGAGGGGTTACAATATTGTGTCTTAATGCACTCTACTTTAGCCTACGTTAACTATATAAAAATTAGTCACTAACACTAGAACATGCAGACTCCCTCCGGCCGGCGTGGCCTACGCCAGGACGCGGACATATGTATAGCATAGGAAACCTTCTCCAAGCTGCGCGGGAAGCAAAGGGCGCTTCGCTGTCTGGTAGAAAAATCACTTGCATTTTTTTTGTTTCTGTTTTTTTTTTGTTTGTTTTTTTTTGTTTTTGTTTTTTTACACAAGATACAGGACATCTGGGGGTGCAAACGTTGTTTTGTTATTCCCTAATGAGTACCCTTGATCTGAATGGGCACCAGCATTTGTGTCAGTATTGGTTTCATCATCATCATCATCATCATCATCATCATCATCATCATCATCATCATTTTCCCATAGCCCAGTTCAGGGACACAAAGGTCTAAAATTCTGGACAATCTCTGGTAGAATGAAGTGTCTGATGATAAGTCTGTGTTGCCAGATACATGTAAAAATTTTCAGAATTGGCATAATTCATGATAGTGACGTCTAGCTTATAAAATTAACAGATACCATGACTTCATTTTAGTTATGTGCTTTGATAACAGAAAATAATTAGCATTTAATGTAGTTAACATATTGTGGTAAAAGCACCATTAGATTTGTTTTTTGTTTTTTTTTTTAAATTTTCCTTCAGTTTTTAAAGGGATACAAGTTTAACAATAAAAAACATAAAAAGCAAAAATAGCTCCCCTTTTTCTTGCAAGGCTGTTTTTTACCCCAATAATTTAGAGTCCTGGGGTGAAAGGACTTGAAAAACAAAAATAGAATTTTCAACAATCTCTATCTTACAAAGATATTTAGCTATCCAATGAAATTGCACTTCACTCAATTCAAAATTCGATTGTTTTGATCGTTTCCTGTCAGTTTCTATCAAAACAGACCATCTTCCCCATTTCCGTGTGAATTTTTGTGTCATTGTTGAAATTGTTGAAAAAAAGTTGTTCTTTTTTTTTTTTAATGTAAGTGCAGCATTTCAAAACTTTTTAAAAACTGAATAGTAGTAGTAGTTTGCCATTTTCGGAATCGTTCTGCAACGTGAGCGGACTCACTGTCCTTGCGGGCCATGGTATGGGCTTAACTGCTGACGGCTGAACCAAACCAAACTGAAAGAAAAATAGAAAGGAACCAACTGCATTTTCTTTTTCCAATACGTTACGGAAACATTGCCCTTTGACTGTCCCGTAAGTACAGATCGCAGATCTCGGCTACTCCGAAAGATTTAGTTCTCCATGCGCCTCCTGCCTGCTCAGGGAGGCCACACCTGCGTGGGTCAATTCACGAATCACTGTGAAACAGCGGGCTCTGTAGGGAGGTGTGCGACAGGAAGTGTGAGCAAGGGGTGTGCTCCGCCAGCCACAGCGCCTAAGCTCACGCCTGAGGAACACCTCACATGCTACAAAGCCCAGCCATCTCCAGCACCATATGAGAAATTACAACAGTCCCTAAAGTATTAAAAAAATCCCGAAAGGTTATGGCCTTTCCTGTTTGACCATAATGCTTGCTGTTTCCGTGTACAGGTGGGGCTGAATCGGTGTTTTCTCCCCTTCCACTGACAGTGAAGTTGTAGCCGCGCGGGGCTGAGGTTGCGTCCGTGTTACAGAGTTGAGAAGGGGTCGGGTGGTCTGTCTGGTGGGTGGTGGGACGCTGTGACTTTTATCCCAGGTACCAGGACTGGAAGACAGAAGGGAAAGTGTGGTTAGTAGTGTGGCAACACGTGTGCCTCATGTGGACATGGCCTGAGTTCAATCCTCAGGACTGCTGAAAGAAAATAAAAGTCCAACCGATAGATCCCAGCGTATTTCAGAAGCTGCCCTTCCAGTCCGGGATCGGGATCCGCACTGGGACTCCCGGGAAAAGTGAGGGACCGACAGCGGCAGCGAGGAGACACTGCAGGTCCCTCCTCTCGAGTGGCCCCAGGCTGTGGGCTTCGGAAGTGACCCGAGTGTGGCCGGCAGTGTGAAGCAGTTCTGCCTCCGCGAATGCAAATCCGGCTTTGTAGCCCGTGGGACCAGAGACTTGAGCATCTTGCGTCTTGCCCGCCCATGGTTGCCTGGCCCACTGCCTCATTCCCCGTGAAGAGGCCCGAGCCGGTGGCCCTGTGGCCGCCGATGGCTCCCCTGACGGGTCATGCAGTACCTCTGAGAGGCAAAGGGGTGCTTGCTGAAGATGTGCTCACAACACTGCTTTAACAGCAGGCAAAAGTGGTCCACGTGACCCACGGCTCACAGCCTGGGGTCCCAGGCACACCCGCCGAGAGTTACGAATTAGCGCTCTGCTCAGCTCAGTCTCTCCACAGCACTGCTTCTGGAAATGGTACACAGCAGTCAGGAAGCAGCCAGCCTTCACCTTGGGGATCCCTGGAGCTCCGAGGGGCGTGGCCGTCCCCTCCCGCCTCCAGGGTCTGCGTGTCACCACCTCTCACCAGTGCAGAGGTGCGGGCCTAGCATCGCTTCAGCTGTTAGCGAAAAAGCAAAGCCAGGTAAACAAGGACCAAGGATGCATGAGCATCAGTTTCCTGAGTGAAATTAAAAGGTGCGTGGTTTTGCCGACTTTGCGCTAGCTACATTCTGACAAATCACGCATTTGTCTTTGGTCACAGGAACGTCAGATCCCCTCAGATCTCCAAGTCACTGTTCAGAAAAGGCTGTGACCTGCTTGACCTTGTGAGGGGACAGCTTATCCTTGTCCCTGAGATTCAATTAGAGAACAGCGAGCTCTTTGATCTGGGGATCAGTGGCTCAGTGATGGCCACAATGGAGGCTGGGATCAGATTTCCGGGTCACACAAGCCACCTGTGGCCTCTGGAGGAGTTAAAAAACCCCAACAAGCTGAAAACACGCATCCCGAGCACTTTCAGGTGTTCTCTGAGCTCGCGCCTAGGCATCACAGTGCAGCCTCTGGTGTCCCAAAGGGAAATCCTCCTGGTAGCAACAGACTGAGCTAGCTGCACAAAAGGGAGAGCGGCCCCGCGGCCTGTGCTCAGGACGTGGGCCCAGCTCCAGCCCTGAGCGCACTGTGGGGCTCAGGCAGCAGCTGTGACCCTGACTTCCTGAAGGCGGCAATTCTGGGACTTCCTGACCAAGAGGCCCAGGACGGACTCGGGGCGTCGGCAGGGGGAGCAGTTCTCCATGCCACCGCGCCTGGACCAGACCTCAGGGCACCAGGAAATCTGCAGTGCCTCTGCACTTCTCTTAAAAAGCAAAGCAAGAAAAAAAAGTTTCTTCACACATCTTACTATTCAGTATGTGCCTTGCCGACAAGGTTACCCAGAGCAGCTCTGTAATCCTTCACTGAAATAGGCTTTATTGATTGCTCTGGTCTATTGTTCCCTTTTCAAGTCCCCCAAGTTCAAGTTCATCCTGGTGTTACATCATGTCTGGTTGCTAGGAGCAACCAGACAGACCCAGACGTGACTATCATTAGCAAGAAACCCTCTGCTCTCCTCCCACCAGCCTTCCAGTGGTTCTGACGTAGCAGGCCCACTGCAAACACATTGAAGTATTTATTCTGCCTAATTTATGACTTACAGAGCAAGCAGGACCCCCACTCCAAAAACCAACACTGTTGTATATGTAATTAATCTGTCTTTCCCTGGCACTTGGGAAAGTTAGACAAAGGACTAATTATTGTGTTTCACCCTGCACACTTTTCTTTTGGGGGGTGGATATTTGCATGGGAAAGAAAACTCCAAGGCCGGGCCCCAGCCCCCTCTCCTCTTCCTTCTGCCCTCTTGACATTTCGTGAAATACTTTAGCTGCTTAAGGGAATTAGAAAAAAAAATGCGATGTGAATGTTACTCCTTCTGAGTTGGTATTCAGCAACACAAATCAACTCATGACATGTTTAAATTTAAATGCTAACCACACACTCTCAGAGTTACTTTAAAGGTTAGTTTTTAATCAATAGAAGTTGCTGACTCTGAGTTTTTCAGCTGTGCACTGCAACTCTTGGGCTTTTGTCTGTGGCTGAGGCTTGCGAACTTTCTTTCCTTGAGATGATTTTAGCAATGATTTGCAGACAGGCCATTGTGCTCTGACCAGCAACACGGCAATAAAGGAAGGGCCATCCCAGCGGGTGTCACATGGCTCCTGAGGCAGGGGCTGGGGGTCTTTATTAACCCATGAAAAAACCTTAATTAACCCTTTCAGGCCTGACCAAAACCTATTCTTCAACTTCTTCACTCCTATGCTTTGACCATTAGGACTGATTTCAACATCACGCTAATCTTCACGACAATTAACCCAGCTACTTGACCAGGACTTCAGGAGGGGCAGACGTCGAGGGGGACCACACGGAGGACTTTTTTCTGGAATGAGGATGCTGTGCCTACATCGTGTGCAGAGGGAGCAGATGAACTGTTTCAGCGATCGCAATAACACGTCCACGTGGCCAGCACCAGTCTGCACCTGAAGGTGTTCACGAGTGGCGGCCAGGGGTGCGGCCTGCACACCGCGAGCCCTGCACCGCAGCAGCTAAGAGGGCGGTGGGTGAAGCAGCCGTGTTGGAAAAGCCCATTTCTCCCTCAGTCTCGGTCATGCAAACAGTGCAAGTTTCACAACACTCACTGAAGGGTGAGTCTGCATATTCCCTTCCTGAGCCACGCCAGAAAAACGCGAGAAATCTAAGATTGCTAAGTTGCTGAGGTTGAACAGCCAAGTGCTGGGAAAACACTGCCACATGAGGGGCAGTTCATTTGTGGAGGGTTAAAAGAATCAGCTCCAGATAGTTACTGACTAGGCCTGGGTTCCCTACACTTTTTTTCTGCCTTCCTGCTTTATAGCCCCATAGCCCGCCCTGCTGTAGCCAGGACTACAAAGGCGCCTCTGTCCCTTATCTGCAGGAGCAATATTCCAGTACAATATCTGAGGATGCCATCTCGGTACATTTACATTAAGGAAGTAAACACAGAGCTTTGATCTGGGACTGCGCTGCAGTCCTCCTCAGGTCCTCAGCCCTACTCCCACCAAGCTCGCGGGCGGCTGGGTACAATTAGCTCCGTGGCAAGGTCTGGACAGGGAATGTGCCGGGAGGGGAGGTGGCGTCCTGCCGGCGTTCAAGGTGAAACATCAAAAGAAATCTGCAGCCCAGGACCAGAGCTCAGCTTCCCCCTCTCGTCGGAGGAAGGAGTGATCTCATCAGGTCGGAAAGTGCTGAGTAAGGATTTAATAACGCGCCTGCAGCGCGCCCACCTCGGGGCTCCACGCTGAATGTGCGCGCGAGGCTTCATTTAACTGTTGCGGCGCTACTTTTACTTTTCCCTCCACAGTTCTCCAGTTTATCACGCTTCCCACCCTTAATTTGCAGCCACACTGAGGTTCGAATCGCTCAGTTATCAGGGTTATGAACCGATGGCATCCCAAGCGGGAGGCCGGGAGGCGTGGGCACCTCTGTGGTGCCAGCCGGCCTCATGTCTGCGCCTCAGGGGGACAGTGAGGCAACAGAGCCGGCTTCCAGGATGAGGCCGGGCCGGAGGTGCAGTGAGGGGACGCGGCCCTCAGTAACACGCAGGCTCCAGTGCACGAGTGCGGCTAGCAGAGCGATGAGAACGGTGTGTCTGCGGGGCGCAGTCCTGCCTCACTCTCCCCAAAGGAAGGGGTGCTGCGGAGGGCAGAGCAGAGCGATGGGCAGCATCTGTTCCTCAGAAAGTGAAGCGAGGGCAGTTTCACACGGGCGCACTGGGCACAGGCTGTAATGTGGGGTCTGACACTGCTTTCCTCTGCCTGCAAGGGGTCGTGGGGCACAGCCCCTCCACCCGCGTGGCTGTGGTCCCCACAGTCTTCTCTGGAGACACTGCCCTTGCCAGCCACACCAGGCACTTGGGCAGTGTGGCTTCCTGCCGTTGCTCGGGTGAACTAAATCACTGCAGCACAAATACACTGCCTTTGGCAGATCCGGCCTGAGCCTGGAGGCGCCTGTCCTGCCCCAGGGCTCAGGCCACATGGGCCTTGGCCTCCCATGGGGTGCAGGAGGAGCTCAGTGCTGGGTACCCCATGCATGGGCTCTGGGGGTATCCTGAGCTTAAGAACAACGGTGTCTGGCCTGGGACCTCCCTACCCAGAGGGAGGTGCCAGGCTGTAGACTTCCTGACCTGTAGGCGCCGGGCACCCGCTGCTCACACTGAGGACCTTCATCACCTCACCAGTGGGCGGGGCCAAGCACGAGGGGTCCCGAGGACCCAGCCCCGTGTTTCCTACTGTGGTGTGACTTCCTGCTGAGGGTGCAGCAGAAGTGTCACTGCTGGCACCGCCAGCCTCGGGCTTTGATCTCCAGAGTTTTTCACTGCCTGACTGTATCGTGTTAAAGTCTATTTTAGAAAACTCTGAACCAAGACCTGTTTGTTGTGCAGGAAACTGTTAAGATGTTAATGCGCCACGCCTGGCCTGCTCACCTTGGTGGCTGTCCTTTCTCGCCACTCGGACCTTCCAGGTCCCTAAAGCCACCAAGTCTCCCTGCCGGGCCTGGCACAGTGTTTGCAGGTCCCTGGCCACCAGCGCTGCTTCTCGGGACTTCCAGCCTGAGTCAGGGTGGCTGAGGCGGAGGAGGAACAGGCCGTGTCCAGCCTTCCAGACTGAGCGTCAGGCCAGTACCCACGCTCACGTCACCATGGCCTGCAGATGACAGGTGGGGTCCCCATGAGATGCAGGACCACACAGTCGCCCGGCATCGCCCGCAGCGTCCTTTCTGGGCCAGCTGGACCGGCTGCCTCTGGAGCATCGTGCTGGTTTGGGAGCATAGACTGCGGCCTGTGCGCTGCAAGCCGGGAGCGGTGGCCAAACCACGAGTCCCTGGAGAACCACTGGCTGCTTCCAGCCAAGACGCCCCTTTCGGTTCAAACCTCAAGACAGGAAAACACTCATCATTCTACCAGCGGCCATCCAGTCCCTCCAAACGTCGGGAGTGCACCGTCAGTCGTGCCGACCGGGTTCCGAGGGGAACCTTTCACCCGGTGCGGGTCTCCTTGCTGCCTCTGTGCCTACCCATCGGTCTCCTCGGCCTTGCACCCAGACCCTCTGGGGTTCAGAAGTGCATCCCGGCCCACGCCTCTGCCTGGAGACTCAGTGGAGGCCCACAGTCTCGGCCGGGAACCAGGCTCTGGGTCCAAGTGATGAGAATCACCAGCAGTAGCACCGGGCGCTGGTTAGAAGTGCTGGAAACGGAGTCAAGTCAGCACCTCTGAGTCTGTGTCCAGCTCCTGCTTCACCCACCTGTGGGGAGGAAATGAGGTGCCACCCGGCCGGCACCCACACAGAGAACCGGGGAGCCAGGCAGATGTGGACAGCTGGGGCGGTGGGGGTGGGGGATGGAGCCGGCCAGCTTCCTAGGAAGGACCTGGCTCCCCAAGGAACTTCCTCTCATTTGAAGACATAATTTCTAGTTAAAACTAGCAGCTGTAGCAGCCCCTTTCCCCAGTTGCAAGAGAAAGTTCCTAAGAAAATAAAAATCTGTCTTTAATTGCGGTCTTGGAATTGGAGCAGGGCCGCCAAGAACACAAAGGGGACAGGCTCGGGGCTGAGAGAGGCCCAGCCCTTAGCCTGCAAGGCTCAACTCTGTGCCTGGAGTTGGGTGAGGGAGGGGACGAGGGAGGGACGCGGGCACTGGGGGGGCAGGAACAATCCTATTTTGGTTTTTGTTAGCGAATGGCATACTACACAGATCAGAGACTTCTCATAAAATACAAACCCCCACTGTACACAAAGCACAGGAAAATGTGAGGGGAAAAGGGAAAAACTAAAAGCAGCTTAGGGTGTGTTAACGCTGCCATTCTGTCAGCTTAAAGAGTATTTTATGCTTGATCAACAGCTCTTTTTTATTGTGCTTTTCTTTCATTCATTCAGGACATCAAAGCCGGGCGCCAACAGCATACCTGCCTTCTGGAGCCGCGGAGGAAGGTTCTAATGAAGCCAGCCGCGCTGGGAGCCCAGACCCCCGTGGACACGGCAGTTCAAAGGGAATATTTCAACAATGATTACATTTTGTAAATCTTTTTATGAAAGAGACAGCTTATTTCCTGCTTTTTCATGAAAAATAGATTCTATCCATTAAAGGGAGCCCGCGCCACGGAAGCTGCCCGAGATCTGAGGTGCGGCGTGGGGATTAAGAGGACAAGGACCCGATGAAATTGTCCCAGTGCCCGTCCCCTGGCTGGGATGACTCTGCCGGATGTGCTGGGCGGGGCCGGACAGCGTGGCCCAAACTCTACGTTTGTGGTCTGCTCTGTGTTTTGATTCCACCAAAGCCAAGAATACCAGGAGGCCATCAGGCCACCCATTCTATCACACAAGAGCGAGATGAAAGGTTCTAGTTACAGACTTGCTAAGTGGTGTATTTTAATGCCCTGAGATGGGACAGACTCTTTTCCATATGGGAAGCTGGCCCATAAAAGGCTGGCTCTGCTCTCAGACATAAAGCGAGCTTTCTTAGGGCCTAGTGTCTGGCCCCAAGGCAAAAACAGAGGAGTGGCCCAGCCCTTTGTAAATTTGGATTTTCACATTAAAATAATCTTTTGCCTGGCAGGGAGGGAGTTACAGAGAAAGGGGAAGGAAGGGAATATGATTTCCTGGGGAGCTATGAAATGAAAAAATGTATGTTTTCTACACATCAGATTCCAAATTTAATTAAATGTCTGTTGCCTAACAAGTGCGGACAGTCACACTTGGGGCTGCCCCACAGTGGCTGGGAGGCGCCTTCCTGTTAGACAGAGGCGTGAGAGTGAGGTCGGTGCAGCTGAGCGAGGCCTGACCGACCGTGACCATCCCACCCGTGCCCTTCCCGCCCCAGCCTCTCCTGACGGGCTCAGGTTCTGGCAAACCCGTCCAGAGGCCTCGCTGCCTGGGTGTGCAGACAGACAACGTCCAGGAAGGAAAACAGCACTGCAGTGGACAGTCCAGTTGTTCCCAGTTCTAGAGTTGCCCCCAACAGCAGCCAGCAGATCTGGGCCCCTCCGACCCCACCCAGGGCAGGGACAGCAGCACTCAAGGCCCCTGGGCTGTGACCCTTCTCCCTCTTACCCCTGCAGCCGAGCCCCCGTGGGAGTTGGGACGGCCCTGTCCACACCATCAAGGAGAAACAGCCGGGAGTGCAGCCACTACCACCTTGTGGGGCAGCAGGGAAAGAGGCTACGGCAGAGAGCCAGGAGCCGGGCGCAGAGGCGGAACCTGGACAGTGTGTGGAGGCCGCGGCAGGGTCCCAGTGTCCAGGTCCACGCAACAGACCTGGAGCAGGTGAGGCGCACACCCTGGGCTGACCCAGCCCAAACTGCCGGTCCGCTCCCC